GATTACAACCGCATCGATTAGGCTGGAGCATGGAGTCGACCAAGTCAAGCAAAAGCTCCTCGAGTCAATCACACATTGTTGTGTCGAGCACTGTCGTTTTGAATGTGACGGCATAATATAGAGTTTGAAGAGTTTGTTTCGTAAATGTTTCGTAAAGGGGTAAATATACGTGAATATAAATGGAGGTATGCATTTGTAAAGGTAAAATGACTCACACTCTGAGCTTCGTGCGGTACGTGCAGTGCGAGCTTCGTGCAGTGCGTGCAGTGGCAAAGTGATTTCACGACTCTGAATCACTCGAACAACTGCCCTCTGACGCCTCGTCGGATGAAGATCCATCGGCGCACTCATCGTCATCTTCATTCGAGAGGAGTAACTGATACATCTCTCGTAGCAATCTGTTGCAATGTTAAACGCAGTTCCAGATCACAGCCGGAGGCAGGGCGTCAAATGCGTTGGCGAGACGCGTGCGCACATCATCAAACGACGTGTTAACGGTATACTGTACGCCCACATCACCCTTCACCTTTGACCAAACCATTTTAATAGGTTGAAGATCCGAGTGATGCGGTGGAGTGTAAACAACATCGTGGCCACGGGCCCGTGCTATCGTCACCACCACGGGGTCCACACGCGCCGCCAGCACAGGTTTGAGACGCGACCATATTGTCTTCTTCAGATCATTGGGCTGCACATTCACGTTGAACTTCAAACACACTGCAAGTAGATCTGCCTTGCGCCAATTGCCACGCGGGGTATCAAGCGGCTGTCCTTCATGGAATCGTGCATTGTCCATTACGAAGGTAACTGAACGCATGCCCATCTTCTCCACCTCATTGAGAGGGTTTTCGAACCACTTCACGAAGTAGGCATGGTCAAACATTCCGTGGTAGTGCTTTGGGTCCTTGCATCCTGGAAGTCGTCCAGGCCAACAAGTTTCGCGTTCGCGTCGGCCACGATCCCAGCAATAAAGCAAAGTCTGCGACCTTTGTGCTTCTCTTTGACCGGACCGAGATCGGTAGGATCGAACAGACTGTCGTGATGCCGTGCGAAATGATGATGGATATAGCTCTCATCAAGATACACCACCGTCGTTCCAGGTACGAGCTTCAACATGTGTTGGATGTACATGTCGCGGGCTGCAGCGTGTACCTTGGACACAGCGTAGGTTGCACGTCCGCGCCGTTTGACCGCTGGAACCCAAGTTTTTGCACGAAATACTGGACACGACGCAGGCAAGTGTATACCTCAGTCTTGTTTGTCGGGTCGTAGTTGATAACACCAAGTTTCAACAAGAGTGTCATTACGTCTTTAGCAGCTGTAGGCGTTCGTGTCATGCTTTGAGCGCGGAAAATTTGACGGACCAGACAGGTCAAATGATGGGAACGGGGAATGCGTGTATTGCGCTGTTGGTTGTTGGTAGGTGGTGGGACTGCATGAACGGCCTTTGTGCGAAGGTATTCGGACCCGACGT